AGGCTAAATGGATTCTCTGCTATCTTTGGTCTTCAGCCTTTCTTTTTCTCTTAGATGAAGAGGAGACTTGGAAAAGTAATTATGTGGCATTTGTAGCTTTTTTTTTTAATAGCAAAAGATGGACCAAGGTTTCTTGTTTGTTAAACATAGTATCAGTTGCAATCAAAAGTAAAAGGAATACTTTCTGAAGAGGTCAGAAGTTATAACAGAGATCGTCTGAGATTTTCTCACCTTAGAAACCATCCAGTCTGTACGCTTTGTTAAATCATATTCTTGTGAGACTGTTGAGACTGTATGTCTTTGTGTCCCTGTGTATTTCATAGTGCTGCGCCATTCTAGACTCCCACTCTTCGTTCTCTGACTGGTAAAAGACCTTCAAGGTCCTGTAGAGATTATTTCATGTACAATAAAATGCATCCACTTAAAATGTATAATGTGTAATTTTATGTTAATCCTGTTAACCTATGTTAATCTTATAGTTTGAATTTTTACAAATATATGATAAAGTGTTAGAGTTTAAATAAGTATGTTCTTTCTGGAAAATTATTTGGTGGTGTCAGATAAACATATAGGATTTAAAATGTTCTGATTAAGCCATCCGTTTCTAGGAATCTGTTATCTAGATGTGACAGATATGTAACATAGACAAAGCTGTACACACACTAGGTGTATGAAACCTTGTGTCTAATGCTGACATTTATGAAACCATGCCATGTGACTTGTTAGCCTGCAAGTGTGGAATCTTAGATTTCATTATGGGTTTTCAAATTGCGTTTTGTGAGTTATTTGTGAACGTGTTTCTGCCTCTTTGTGTTCATTGCAAGTTTTGTGGTGACCTTGGCTTGTGTAGTCTTTATATGTTTATTCACTGTAATGATGAAAACTCATCCAGAAGCAATGTAGAGTCAAATAGGGAAACCAAAAGAGGGTCGAAGGAAAATATATTGAGATGCTTCAAACAATATTTAGTGATCCTCAACTAATGAAATAAGTAATCAGTCTTTGAAAAGATACCAAAAGAAGAAATAATGCAAGCTCCCCAAAGAGAAAGAAAGAAAAAAAAACAAACAAGTGATTGCTTAGAAAAGAATGACAGTTTGCAACATTGAAGTTCGCGGCAGTGATAAATTCCAAAAGACATTAGAGAAATGTCTATCCATTGCTGATATATAAAATCTGCCTTTGCAGAATTTTTTATTAGCCAAAATATCATTCAAGAGGTAGGGTATGAGATACAACACAAAGAGGTACCTGTGTGTGTACACACATTTATTTGCATATCCACATATGTACATACAATACTTTATTAATTCATATGAATATGCAACTAAAATAGTTTGAGGAACTTGATTTTTGCTTATAAAAATGAGCTCTGGAGGTGGTATGCCTGGTATGAACATGTAAAAATGTGTAATTTGTCCATTTTTACCTCAGCTTCTTATTCTGTATAACAGTAATAATCCCTGGGTAATTGTGAGGAAGAAAGGAAGAAGTGAATCATTATTGCCACTCCAACAGGTTTGTAGAATAATAAACATTTTTAAAGTTTTTGTAAATTAAAATTGAATATTTTAGGGAGATGATATTACTATGGAAAAAAGAGGGTAGGAATTTACTTGTTTATTATAAATCTCTGTTAGTTTGGCTCATTCATTTAATTTATTCAATCCTGAGATGTTCTAGGCACTCTTTTAAGCAGTAATGACATAAAAGGTAATTAAAAAGATTAAAAGAATGCCTCTTACAGCTTACACCGTGGTGTGGCCAATGGACAAGGTGGATATGTGAAAGAGTTTGTGTAAAAAAGCATTTAATTGTTCTTAGGGAATGACAAAAGGGACTGGTGCATCCGAAGTTGAGTGTACAGGGGACAAGTGTGTGCTGTAAGGGGTGGGACCCCAGACAATGTGGATCTCATACAAAAGTTTAGGCTTTTGTAAAGACTGTGGCTTTTACTCTGAATGAGATAGGAAGTCATTGAATGATTCTAAACCCTTTAGTTCTCTAAGATTTCAGTGCTGGTTTGAGAACAGGGTTTGAAAGTGTTACCTTAGTAATAAATAATATAATGAGCAATTGAAACCTGTTCTAATGTGTCTTTCCTGCTCAAGAATTTACAGTGGAAACAGGCAGTTGGCGCAGCAGTTAACATGCCACTTGGGATGATGGCATGCATATCAGAGGGTCTACATTGAGTCCTGGCTCCGCTCTGATTCGGGCTTCCTGCTAATGAGCACTGTAGGACTCACCCAGGCAAAGACCTCGGTTGAGGCCTAGGCCCCTGACTGGGCTTGGCTGAGCCCAGTCTACTGTGGACATTTGGAAAGTGAGCTGTTCTTTTCACTCTGCCTTTCAGATAGATAGATAGATAAGCAAAACTTGAGAAATTCTATAATAAAAAAGCAGGATTTATAGCGGTTTTGTGTTACTTAATATGTTCCCTTAACTTTCATTACCTTAAATCTTGATACTTTGTATCTGTTTAATGCTGTATCTTTCATTTCATTCAGATCTAGAATCAATTCTTCTTTTTTTTTTTTTTTTTAAGATTTACTTATTTTTATTTGAAAGGCAGATATACAGAGAGACAGAGAGGAAAATATTTGTTCGGTGGTTTACTCCCCAGCAGCTGCAACAGCTAAAGCTGATCCAATCCAAAGCCAGGAGCCAGGAGCCAGGAGCCTCTTCTGGGTCTCCCACATGGGTGCAGGGTCCCCAGATTTTGGGCCATCCTTGACTGCTTTCCCAGGCCACAAGCAGGGAGCTGGATGGGAAGTGTGGCTACTGGGATTAGAACCGGCTCTCATATGGGATCCTGGCACATTCAAGGCAAGGACTTTAGCTGCTAGGTTATTAGAAGAAGCTAGGCTATTAATTCTTCTAAACTCAGGAATAGTTTTAGACTAAAAAGAGACTTATTTAATTTTGATACCTTTTGGATTTTATATTGTTTGCTCTCATTGCATAGTTAAAACTACTAGCTGGTGTTAACTGTTATCTATAGAAATATTTCTCAAAATTGGAATTGCAGGTCCAGCATATTTGCCACTAACTGAGTTTATGTATTTGTGAATAAATTAATAAGGTCACTGTCTAGGTGAGGCTTTTTTTTTTTTTATCATGGTATTAGGATACTTTCTTTTTGAACTGTTTAATTGGTTATTTATGTATGTTATTTATTAGTAAAGGTAGTTGAAAATTAGTATATTATTAATTCTAGATTCAAAATGGAATGCCTTTGAGTTTGCAAGAAGTTATATTTGTAGGTCATTTTGCCAGCATCAGTATTAGTTTTATCTGAAGAAAAGATACAGAATTAAGTAGATTTTTTAGGGAAGAGGCTTTCTTGTTTTTTTTTTTTTTAAAGATTTATTTTTATTATTTTTTTATTGGAAAGGCAGATATACAGAGAGGAGAGACAGAGAGGAAGATCTTCCGTCCGATGATTCACTCCCCAAGTGAGCGCAATGGGCCGATACTATGCCGGTCCAAAGCCAGGAGCCTCTTCCGGGTCTCCCACGCGGGTGCAGGGTCCCAAAGCAATGGGCCGTCCTCGACTGCTTTCCTGGGCCACAGGCAGGGAGCTGGAAGGGAAGCGGGGCTGCTGGGATTAGAACCGGCGCCCATATGGGATCCCGGGCGTGCAAGGCGAGGACCTTAACCACTTGCGCCACCGCGGTGGGCCCGGCTTTCTTGTTTTGTCCTCATTATAAACCATATGAGGTGATGTCTTTACAAAAATGTACATGTGGCTGTGTCTGTGTATGTGCGTATGTGTGTACCCGCACGCACACACATCCACAGAGGAAAATGAACCTTTGCTTTTCTGAAGAAAATATTAAAACTTTTAAATTTTAAAGTTTTCTTGGTGTATTTATGTTGAAGTACATAGTGGAGGAAATGGTAAAGTGTAGGTTTATAGCTAATTAAACAGTTTAGCTAAGTAGATTTTTACCTTATGTAAGAAAACTTCCAGAATGTCTTTATTTTGTCTGTTTTGCCTACTTGTCTAAACTGTCTTCTAGTATTTTTCATCCAAATAATATCAGTATACTCTGTCGAATTATATTCTAACTTAAAATTTGATGTGTTTACACCTTCAAATTGTCACTATTTGATAAATATAATTATAGTTTATTAAAAATATTTGGCTGCAGTAAAAAGAGCCTTAAGTAACTGTTCAGCTTGGACTCTGAGAGGTGGTAGGCTTAAGGCCTACAGGACAACATGTGGTCCTGCCTAATATTGTAAGCCTGTGTCAGTTTGGGGTCTCTGTGTCAGTAGCTTTCAAACGAGAACACACAAACCTATTAGGATGTACTAAGAGAATAATAGAAAATTTATTAGCCATATTTTGATATTAGTATCTAATTTGAAAAGTTTGGAAACCGTTCATATTATGCAGTTTTTTGTTTGGGACACTAAATGGCCATATGTGGGGCTTAACATTGTAGCATGTGTATATAAATGTGAAATGGGAATGCTTGTGCTTTATTTCCCGTTTGTAATGTAGTTAGACTTTAATAGAAAATGTTAAGACACAAAATGCATATGGTATTTCAAAGAAATTTATACACGTTGAGTTTCGCTTTTTTTTTATTGTTAATAACATTGTATTATGTGATACAGTTTTATAGGTGGAGTTTCGCTTTTTTTTTTTTTCCTAAATATTTGAACTAAACTGGTTTGCCTCAGATTGAAAATTTCATAGCCTGATTTCTCTCCGATTTTTGCCAGCTAAAAATATAGATAATGCCAATGTTGGAAGTCAAGCCTTTTCACTTGGTTGTTGCTTTAGGTCTTCACCTGCTGGACATCTGTGAAGTGTCCTCAACACAAACTTTACAAACGGTTGCTCAGTGCTGTGTGCTCTTTTCTAACATTCAGTGCTTCTGTGTACCCAGCTCATTGTGGTGTGCGTACTATGAGAGGTCGCAGTAAGCAAATACCCATTGATGGCCACCATTTTCAATATTCATGCTTTTTTTTTTTAATCTCAGATATTCAAGACTAAAGCAGTACAGTTGGCTGAGAAACTTCTTCCTGCCTTTAACACACCTACTGGGATTCCCTGGGCAATGGTGAATCTGAAAAGGTAAATTCTGTTTTATAGCATTATTCCTCTTCTGGGAAAATTGAATGAACTGATTTTTTTTTTTTTTTTTTTTTACTTTTCTAGTCTTAAATTTTTTTAATGACTTAAATTGTTTTCCTCCGATGCAATGAAACAAATAACTATTTTTTTTAAAATATGTCCTTTGCTTCAGAACAGATTAAATTTGCCTTAACGTTATTCTAGTTTCTACTCCTTTTTTTGCTGAATCTCTGTTTTTTTCTTCATCTGTATGTTCTTCCAACACTTGCTTCTCTTAAGAATTTTTCATTCATTTTTTGGTGGGGGAAAGGCATCTAGGTGTTAAGAGTATGGAAAATACATGAAAATTTGACTCTTGCTCTTCCTAAACTCAGACCTCTGAGAAGTAAAGTTAGAAACATTTTTCTGGAAATGTGAATTATGACATTCATTTGTTTAAAAAAAAAAACTAATCTATGTTAATCATGTCTTTCTGATGGAGAACCTTAGAGTTTGGAATTATGTTGAGAAATCAGGATTAATCCTAACAAGAATTCTAACTTTATTGGATGATTTCATGTTCTCTATAAGACACAGATTACCCCCTTTGTTCAGAGAGGGCCGACTGGAGCCCAGGGCAGCCTGCATCCCTGCTCGGGCACGTGGAGGGCACCTGCTGGCTGCCTTGCCTTACTCTCAGGGAAGATTTTTGATATTTCCTTCAAATCAGTTGCAGGTTAAATGGTGTTTTTACACACCCAATTAAAGACTAATTCTGACTAAAAGACAACCTTGGAGGACTTTCGTTTTCTGATGTCTGCATAGAAAAACTAAAAAAAAATTTAAAATAAACAAAAATCAAGTTTCAATTGCAAAACCTCAAAATTGAGATTAGAAACAAAAGAAAGGTCTTGTAAAGAACTTCATAGCAGGCATTTTATAAGTTTAATTTTCATTTAGTTTCTTTGAATTTTTTTGTACAACTAAAACAATTTTATTTGAGTTTATGTATATCCATGTAAATGACATGCATGGCATTCAGTGTTTAATAAAGACGTCTCCCTTTTTTCTGCCTCCAGGATCATCAAGTTTGTCACACACAGACCTTTTCCCAATCTTACTTCCTGAACATCAACCCATGCTTTGCAATCTAGCATGTTTCTCTTTTGTAATGTAGCTTTCTTGAATTGTTTTTTAGAATACTTGTTTTTCTGCTTCATATCTTGGCACCTCATCTGATAAAGCTAAATCAGTCTTCGTGTTGACTGCAAAAAATGAGGCATCAGAAAGTTATACAGCAATTTATTCTTTCATTTCCATACAATGACATTTATTCCTTTCCAACATTTTCTTACCGTAAATACTGACATCCTCTTCCATCCTTCTGTGTCCTTTTCTGCAAGTGATTATTAAGAATATGATATCTAAATCAGGGGCATATGGCTTTTAAAAATCCCTACATGTGTGGTTATCAGACGAAAGGAATATGTTTTTAAAATTTGATACTGCTAAAATGCTTTCCAAAAAAGTATATCATGTTTCCATTAACAACATGTGCAAGTACCTGGACATCTGTATGCGTAAGTTCTTTATAATTTGGACATTGTGGTGGCTAGAAGATGTAACTCATCATTACTTTAATTTATATTTTCTGACTAGCAAATTTGAACATTACATAAATTTATTGGATATGTGTATTTACTGAGCATTGTTCATTTCTGAGTGTTGCTTGGGTAGTCTTTTTTCTCATTAATTTGTGAAGTGCTTTGTAATTTATGGAATTAATTTTCTTCTCCATGCTCTGCTATATGTCTCTTGTCTGTGTTTTTAATATAGGTTTAAAATTTTTATTCATTCAAATACATCTCCTACAATTTTAGGTTTATAATTTTGGTTAAGGTCATTGTCTGCACCTACATTTGTATATTTTCCTAGATTTCTATGGAAGTGCATTTATTTTTTTAAAAAATTAGTTGTAGTTTTTAATCAATCATGTTTATCAACTATTTGTATTTCACTGAGAATTTTAAAATTTTAATTATAAATGGATATTAAGTGATACAGGGAATGCTTTCTTCATTTTTGCTTTTTTGTGTCCGTTAGTATGATAGATTGCTTATAAGGTTTTCATGTTAAATCAACCATGAATTTTTTAGGAACTTTGGATGATTCTGTAATGTTTTTAAGCCTTACTTATGGTGGTTATTCTTTATGGTAATACTTTTAGCAGGTGTTGAGTTGAGTTATTTAGTATCATAAAATGAAATGGGAAGTATTTGTCTCTGTTTTCCAAAATAATTGGCTACATCTTCCTTAACTGTTACCTGCAAGTATCTGTGCCAGAAATTTTGTTTGAAGGCTTTTTAATAGTTCACTTTTTCAAACAGATAGTAATAATATTTCTAAAATCCTAATGTTCATGGTTAGAAAGAGAAGTTATTTTTGTTGTTTTTTAGTATTTGATGCAGTTTTCATTACCTAGCTTTTTGAGTATATATTAAAATTAGAGTTAAATGTAATAACTATACTTTAATTTTGATCACTTGGAAGCATCACAAGATTTGAGCATTAATTTTTACCTGGTGGTGTTTTGAGAGCTCATCATGTTGTTATTGCAGGGAATTTTTTGGTTTTGGCAATGTTGCATGTTGTTCTTGGGATCCTATTTTCTTAAGTTTTTTAAATGCAGGAATCACATTTAATATTTTAAATCCTTCCTGTGCGGCTAAATGTAAAATAAGTGCAAATCTAGGTTAGCACTTGACATTTTGAAAGTGAATGAAACTTTCTCTTTCTGACTGTGCAAGAAAAGCTTTTGTTGTTGTTGTTTTAAGAATGATGCATTTCTATGAAAGGCAGGGTGACAGGAGGAAGGGATAAAGAGACACGTCTTTAATCTCCTGGTTCACTGCAATCTGCAGTAGCTGGACCTGACCAGGCTAAAACCAAAAGCCAGAGCTCTGTCTTGGTCTCCCACTTGGATGGCAGGGGCCTAGGCCTTTGCATTCCCAGGCATATTGGCAGGGAGCTGTAAGCAGAATAGTTGGGGAAATATGGACTGCCATTGCAATGCAGCACTAGCTCCTGGTCAGAAAGTTTTTGAAGAGAACAGTAAAATGTTGGATTTCCTAGCTGTGTGTTTGTATTTTATCATGCATTTGCCTTACTGACACTTAGAAGACCTTTCTAGATGCTAGACTTTATTCTCTAAATGTTCTTAAAATTTTAAAATTATTAATGACTTCTCTCATTACACTCAAAAATTGTAAAATTTTACTACAGTCTACTCAAATCTTGAGTAGTCTGGATTATAACTAGCTCTCTAACCTTATCCCTTATTTTACTTTTCCCATTATTTTCTGAACTCCAGGTACACTAACTTTTCTTTTGCTCTTTTTTCCCCTACTAGAAATTTCTGTCTTTCGGATTTATTCATCACTAGCACCTTTTCATCCTTCAGGTCTCAGTTTGAATCCTGTCATTTTAAAAAACTCTTTGAACATTATACTTAAAGAACGTGTTTTAACTCAGTTTCTAATTCTAGCACATAGACATCTATTTCTCGGTTTAATATCTTTAAAGCAATGGCCACTACTTAAGCAGGAATTTTGGATGTCAGGTTCACCACTGTCTCACAGTATAGTAGGTATTTATTATTTGTGAAATGAATGTCCTTGCACTGTATGCATTTTTTCATTATTTCTATTATTAGTGCTATTTGTCTTTCATAATTTCACAGAAAATGTAAAAATAATACCGAACAAGAAACTTTAAAGCAAGGTTTTGGTATCTATTTTAAGTTATAGGGAAGCCTTTCTTTCCTTTTTTTTAAATTCTTATTTTCCATTTTGTAATTTTATAGGCATAGATCTTCCGCTCTCTCCTCTTCCTCTCCGCTCCCCCCATTGTTCAAGGCAGGCTTTCAATAAAGAGAAAACCAGGAATATGTCCTAGAGATTGTATCTGTACAAATGAATGTGAAAAGGGGATATTCATTATGTCGGCCCAGTGCCATGATAAAGTAGGCCAAGCTTCTGCCTGCATGCCAGCATCCCACATGGCCGCCAGTTCGTATCCTGGCTGCTGTACCTCCAATCCAACTGTCTGTTCATGGCCTGGGAAGGCAGTGGAAGATAGCTTCCTAGGCTCCTGCTCTCATGTGATTGACCAGGAAGAAGCTCCTGACATTGGTTCAGCCCAGCTCCAGCCATTGTGGCCATTGAACCAGTGATAAAAGATGTCTGTCTGTCTGTCTGCCTCTGTTTGTGTGTGTCTGTGTCTTACCTTCTCTCTGTAACTCTACCTTTTAAATAAAAAATAAAAGGAATCTTAAAAACCAACTCTTTGTTCAGAAAGCGTTTATAATAAAATATTGGAGATATCCCAGTGGACTATGAGAATGGGGTTGATAAAGTGACATGTGCCTGTTTATATAATGCTGTTTTCACATCAGCACTGCCAGCATTTAGAGTAGGACGGTTCTTTATTGTGTGATGGTGTTCTGATTATTCCAGGAAGTTTTATCTCTTTTGTTTTAGAACAGAAAAAATGGTTTCAGGGAAGTCAAAATACTGTCATAAATTTCATATATCTCTGGGGTGGAGCACTCTAAATTGAAAATCAGTGATTTCATGGTATTTTATGCAGGTTTTGAAAAGTGAGAACACTGAGCTGATAGGGAAAATCCGCCAACATGCATTTTAAGATGAAAATCCAAGTACATGGCAAATACTATGGCTTAAGGAACGAAAAAAGGAAGAATATATATTTGTATTGCCATGTATGCCCAAAAATTCTATACTACAATGCAAGGAACGAATGAATGTGATGTTGAATTCTGTTGGGTAAAGAGAAATCAGAATGAGTACAATGTGTTCTTTGTACACTTTTAATATTGTCCTGATTTGGTAATCAAAGAAAACTAGATAAAAATAAGCTGTCATGTTAGTTTTGTAATTTCTGAGGAACCTTTTTAAAATGTTCATATTCATATTCAAACATTTTTTATTTGTTCCCCAACACCCCCAAACCTACCTTCTATTTTGTCTTTCTTTTTATTCAGTGGAGTTGGGCGAAACTGGGGCTGGGCTTCTGCAGGTTGCAGCATCCTGGCTGAATTTGGTACGCTTCATATGGAGTTTGTTCACCTTAGCTACTTGACAGGGAACATGGTGTACTACAACAAGGTTAGTTTTCTTTCTTTTATTGCTTTGTTATAACAAGATCCTTTCAAATTTACACAAAGACTGATTAGTACTTAAAGCGCTTACTTTGTTGGATGTAGGTTTATCTAGGCCCTAGCTTTCATTTATTTATTTTAGTCTTTCAAAGAAAGATTCTTTCCAGTTAGTACATATTTAAAATATTTATAGTTATTTGACAAGTTGTAACCACTCTTACATTTTTTAAAATGTCTATAAGCAGGTTTGAAATCAACATTTGAAATACTACATTCCATATCAGAGTACCTGTGATACAGTGCCACCTCTGCATCTGATCTAACTTCTCGCTAATGTGTCCTGTGGGAAGCGCCGGTGTCCTGTGGCTCAGGCATTTAGGTCCCTGCCACCCATGTAGGAAACCTAGATTGAGTGTCTGCTTGCTGGCTTCAGCCTGGTTTAGACCTGACTGTTCTGGGCACTCAGGTAGTAAACCAGGAGATGGAAAACTGTTCTTGTGCTAGTTCACACTATCTTTCTTGTTCTGAAACTCTGACTTTCAAAAAAATAAAAATAAAAACACTTTAAAATTTTTCATTGGCATTTCTGTTCAGCCTTGTGCTGCAGTTCCTATCCAGCATGTATAGAAAAATATAATGAGCAAAATATTTAAGAATTGAAAGGAAAGAAAGAAAGTAGTAATTATTCAGAGTATAAGATTGTCTAGTAATAATGAACATGAAATTCAGTACTGTGAATCTCTAAATAAAAGGCAATAAGGGAACAAATAGTCATAAACAGACCATTTTTAAGTGTTTGTAGTGTTGTATTTTTAAAATTGAAGTATGAGTAAAATCCGTGTGTTCCTTTAAGGTCAGTTTTCAGTTAAAAATAGAAAAAATAGAGCCAGAGTGCTCAATTTTTTCTGTTCTGAGTAAATAATAATGAAATAGCAAAGACCAACTAAAATTAACCAACAGCTATAAAATTAGGAAAAGGATAAATATATGACAAAGATATTTAGCAGCCCAAAAGAGGGAGAGAAAGCAAGACATTTGTGACTTGATATTGTACTTAATTCTGCAGCAAATGAGAGTGAGCCCCTCCTTGGCATGGGCTTTTATGGGACTTGAAAGGGGTGTGCTTATAAAGCCCTGCTCTAGGTCTCAAATGGGGGCAGATACTCCTGGGAAGTCATTTGATAGACAAGTAGGTGGTGGATCATGGGGTCACTTGGTGATGAGGCTGGCTTCCAACTCCTGAGGTTGTGTTAGCTAACTACCTGTCTTATATCAATCTCTAACATGAAAAAACACAGAGAATATAGGAAGCAAATGAAAGGTGATGGGAAACTTTGGGGTAAAAGAATTACTGTTGTGTCCAGGTTCAGAAAAGTGAAGTATGTATAAGGCCCCATGAAAATAGTTTTGTCTCAAGTTATTTAAAACAACTAGGTTATCCCTCAAGTATAGTGATAACATTAACAAACAAATAAATGTGTTACAGCATTCTTCTGCCCTATCCTTACCTACCCCAGACACTTAAAGAATCCAGAGATGAATTAAAGTACAATTCCTGGAGAAGGCTCCAGCCTCTCAGCATGTTTCATAATTCCTTCCTCTTTAACCTCAGAGAGATACTTTTGGAATTGAAATTTTAGAGGTATTTATTGCGGAAATAATATTTTAAATTTATCAACTTATTTACATTTTGTGTGCTAAATTCAAGGTGATATTTTTATGCGAATGTTGTGATTCTGTTTCTGTGATGCTGTCTGAATGCATGCAGGTTGCTTCCGTCTAGAGTGATATTTATTATCCCTCATACTTCTGATCCCTAGCTACTTCCGCGTAGTGGAATACTGGAGTAAAGAAGGCTGTGCTGTTTTCTTTATGTTTCTGGATTTTTTAAAAATAACATAGTAAACATAAAATAGACATAATAAAAAATTAATAATTAAAACAAAATCAAAACAGTGGGTTACTTAATTAGAAATCTTTCCTGACTGCCACTCAAAAAATGGCTAAGGAGAGAGAGGGTGGGTATAGGAAGTGAGTGAGGAAAAACACAAGATACCTAGGTTAGTATTAATTCTGATTTGTTTATTTTTGTTAATTGTGTTTGACATTTAATTTTGTTAATTTTATTCCTTATTATATTTTGCTCATTAGGTTATGCATATTAGGAAACTACTTCAGAAAATGGATCGCCCAAATGGTCTTTATCCAAATTATTTGAACCCAAGAACAGGACGCTGGGGTCAGTGTAAGTATTCCTAGTACAGTGGATGCATTGTTAAAAGGTTATTTGTCTGAAACCTAGCTTGATATAATGAAAAGTAAGCTACGTGAAGTTAGAAATTCTCAGCTAATGTGTAGTACTCTTGCCTACCTGTGCCATTATCTCTGCAAATCTCTAATCAGAGCTTTGATTTTCCTATTTGTAAAATGAAAAAATTAACAAATGTCTCATGACTATTTTATTTCATGTATATGTGAATGTTTTTCTAAAATGATTGTGTAGGAGTCCACGGTTTAAACTTAATGGTAAGTAATGTCTTCACGTGGATAGGCGCACTGTTTGGAATAGTTATTATAGGAGGAGTGTGAAACAAACAGGTGTATTAAATGACTAGGAAAAGGGGGCAGTTGCTCTTGGACATACTACCTTCAGTCATTCAGTTTAGAAGAAGATATCTTTGTGTCTTTTATTTACCAGGCTTTGTGCCAAATTCTAAATAAAACTGGAGATAGAGCACAGGCACAACTCACTATTGTCCCTTCTCCAGCAATTTTTCCCCATTCTCAAAATGGCGTCCAATGAGTACTGGTGGGGGTCTGGCTCGTGAAATCCACCCTGTATCCTCACCCAACTTCCTGGGCTCTGCCTGTGGTAGGATTGAATAAATCATCAGGTTTCTGGCAGAGTTCATTTCCTGAGCTCCTGCTGAATACCCCTCCCCACCTGGCTGCTGGTGGAGCTCTTCTTGCCAGTACCTACTGACAGGTCTGAGTGCAAACTGGACCTATTTTGTATGGAACCTGTGGGATGCTGAGTTGCTATTGTTTCCCATGTGGGACCAATGCAGTGCATTAAGTCGAAAGTGCATTTTCTACTGACTTAGTGCATGTGCAGCTCACTGTTGTCTCTCCTCCAGTTCCTTTGCCGCAGTTCACAAAATAGTGCCTGATATGACACTGGTGGGAGTCAGGGCTATGAAATCTACCCTTTTCTTGTACCTGACTGCTTGAATTCTGCTTCTGCTCTTGGTCAGATTAAACAAGTCAGCAGGACCTGGAGTTCTATGGGTGGCTTCACCTCCTGAGTTCCTGGCTGCAGGTGAAGCTCCAACTGCTGATAGCTGATCAGTGATCTCCACTGGAGTATTTGTTCACTGCCTATGTACTTTCTTTATAGGACTTATTTTCTTTGAATTTATTTTTGATGATATTTACACTGTTGATTGTCAAGGATCAGGGAAAAATGGGCGAGACCATTGTTTATACATTTTCTTCTATTTCTTCTAGTAACTGTGGGAGTAGAGTTTACAAGGGAGAAGCTACACCCAGCCTCCCAACCAACCTTAGTACTCAGGGATGGGGAATAGCCACCTGGTGTCATCCCAGGGTCCCTGTGTGCAGCATTTTCTGAGGGTTCTGCTAATGTGGTGTCAGTAGTTCTGAGATGCTGTTAATATCACTGTTCCAAGGATGAAGATATCCTTTGTCAATTAGCTGACATAGTCCGCTTCCAAGTCTCCATTCACCCAGAAATTTTCTGTCAAACTTCACTGGGATAGTTGATGAATTTGTTCTGCTCTCCTTCCTCTGCAAGCTCATGGATGCTGTGGCCCAGCCCAGGCTAGCCCACCACACACTTGGCCCTCACATACACCATAAGGAGCTGCAGACCAATCAGAGCAACTCCCAGTAACCCACACTGGGCTGGTACCAGCCCTGGTTCCTGTGCCTGCTACCATGTGTAGTGGACTGGTTTGGTCCCACATCCTGCTGAGATCTCGTATACATCACTGGGCATTGAAGCCTGGCTCAACCGAACTGACTCCACCCTCCAGGCCACACTCATGCCAGCAGGTGTCACTGCCTGTCCAGCCAGGCATGCCCTCCCCTTTCCCCCCCAGTCCTGATTTTCATGCTCACCAGTAGGAGTTGCAGCCCATCAGAGAATTGCCCACAGCCTCCCCACTGGACGCAGTCACTTCCCCAGATCTTGTACTTTCCAGGTGGTTCTTCAATTTAGCTCAACAGGACTTGCCCCCAGTCTCAGCACTTGCCAGCTGATTTTGCGACAAAGCCCAACCCACCTGCCCTTACTCTGGCTTTTGCCTGCAGCAGTGAAAGCAATTGGTTCACCCTGTCTGGTGCTCCCCCTAACCCAGTTCACATGTAAGCCAACAGGTGTTGTAGCCCTGCCCAGCCTGGTCTGTCCCTCATTCCCAGCTCTCCTACTCAACAGCATGAGTAGTAGCCCAGCAGGAGAGTCCCTATTACTCTCCTGCTGGGCTCTCACACATCTTCCCACCCAACCCCGGTCTTATGTGTGCTGATGGAAGCTGTGGCTCATTCTGGCATGGCTTGTCTTGCCTCTGCATTTGCAAGTGGGTGCTGTAGCCTGGCCTGGCCAAGTTGGCACCCCCAAGCTCGCGCTTGCAGGTGCTACCACCCAACCCATCACAGTCAGCCCCTAGTCCTGAACCTAATGTGAATTGGCTGGTGCTGCGGTCCAACCAAGCCTGTCCTGCACCCCATCCTGGTTCTCAGATCTGCCAGTGGGTGTTATGAATTGGCCCAGCCTGGTCCACTCCCAGAACTATGCCACACATATGCCTATGGTACTGTGACTTGGCCTGGTCTGGGTTGCTCTTGCCTTAGTTCTTGTGCTCCCCTGCAGGGTCTGCACCCTGACAAAGGAGTTCCCGAAGCTACTCTATCAGGTCTCCTCCCAGTGGCAGATTTTGCGCACACTGGCGGGTCCTTGGCCCAGGCTGAATTAGTCCACCTTCTGTCCTGGCAGGAACAGTGGCCTTGCCCAGCTGGCCCATATCCAATCTGATTCTTACTGTTGGATGTTGTAGCCCAGCCACTCCTGGTCCATGCCCCGATGTAGCTCTCACATGACCCAGTAGGAGCTGAGACCTATCCCAGCCCATTCTACATGTACTTTGGCTCTCACAAGCACCAATTTGGTGTTGCAGTCTAGCCCAGTCTGGCTCAATCCAGACCCAGTCCACAGCCATAATGAGGGACAGTGCAGCCATGTCCAACCCAGACCACCCCCGCATTCTGGCTTTCATGCTCACCAGTGGGAGCCAAATCCTATTTGGGGCATTGCCTTATCTCCCATACTAGGCCTGTTCCCAGCTCCAGGTCTGTGCTGCCCGATGGTTGCTGAGACCCAGCTCAGCATAGCCTATACCCCATCTTGACCTTTGCCATCTGATGCTGCAGCCTGGCCTGCTTTGACCCACTGCCAGTACCAGCTCTTGCTGGTGAGTGCTACAGGTTGGCCCTGGCCAGTTTGCTCCATCCCTGATGCCTATAAACCAATAGGTATGATAGCCTAGCCTGGCATGCCCCACATTCCAGCCTGGCTTCTGCAGTTGCCAGTGAGGTAAGATTGGGTTGGCCCAGCCACCCCTTTCCAAATCCACCCCACATGTGTGCAAACAGGTGGAATACCCTGCTTGATCTGACCAACATGTAGACCTGAATTACCAGCGGGAACTATGGCCTGTCAGAGTAGTTTCCCAAATTCCCTCACCACACCCACCCCCAGATCCAGATCTCTCACATGCCAGCAGGTATTAGGCCCTTAGCAGGTGTAGACTAACCCCTCCATCCAGGCCTGCATATGAGCAGTGATTGTTTTGGCCTGGTCTACCCTACACTGTATTCTTGGGTGTGACAGTGGTGTTACAGCCTGGACCAGTCCAACCTGTACCTAACCCCAGTACTCATGAGTGTTGGAGGGTTCCATGGCCATGCCTAGTTCAGCCCTTCACCACCCCGACCTCCCAAGAAAATCAGCAGAAATTTCAGATCTAAAGGGGTGAGTCTATACATTCCCCACAGAATCTGCCCCTAGACATACTTCTCTCGCATGCTGGTTAGCGCGCCAAGGATCAGCCTAACATTTCTGGTCCCCAGTTCTGGCTCTCATTGGTGGGTACTGTGATCTAGTACTGTCCAATAGGGCCCTAGCTCTAGCTTCAGTGTGTAGCAGTGAATGGTATTCAGCATTTTTCAATCATAACTACCCCAGCTCTGGTCTGCCACATGGGTTTGTACTTGGGTCTGACCCCTAAAGCTCCTTGCAAGCCCTCTCAAAGGTCACACTGCCATGCCCTGGCCACCCGACCTGAACCCCACCTTCTGACCCAAGCCTCACTTCTCAGGACCCCACCTGTGGGACAAGCTGAACCACCTGGCTCTGAGCACATGGCAGGCCAGTAGGCCCAAGCCTCCAGATCCGAGCCCTACCTTCTTTATAGGGCTTCTTAGAAGGTTATAAGGAAATACGAGTAACTCAATTTGAAAATGGTCCTAAAATGTTAATTCATAGGGCCCAGCCAGATTGTTCAGTGGATAAATCCTCACCTTGCAAGTGCCGGGATCCCATGTGGGCACTGGTTCATTTCCTGGCTGCTGCACTCCCTGTGTAGCTCCCTGCTTTTTGCCTGGGAAGGCAGTAAAGGATGACCCAAAGCCTTGGAACCCTGCATCCACTTGGGAGACCTAGAGAAAATTCCTGGTTTCTGGCTTCAGATTGGCTCAGTTCCGGCCATTGTGGCCCCTTGAGGAATGAGCCAGCGGAACAAAGATCTTTCTTTCTGTCTGTAAATCTGCCTTTCAAATAAAAATAAGTAAAAATCTTTTAAAAAATGTTATTTCATAAAAGCACAACATAGATGTCCAACAGATGTTTTTATTTGTCCTTAAAAGTGATATTCTGAGAGTAATTGGTACTTGTAGATGGTGTAAAGTCTCTATACAGACTATTGCTACCATACTTACAAAAGCTGTCGTTTCCTTAACGTCTCTGAAAACTTCACTAGTTAGCTTTTTCTTTCTCTGTTCCACTTTGCCTGTTGCATAGTCAAATCAAAGCTGCTTTTAAAGAGACACAATTCCTTGACTATTAAATTGACAAAAGAAACAAGAAATCTTCTGAACATCTTAGAGTGTGATGTTTGTATGCCTTTTGATCCCGTGCTGAGGATGCTGCTCTTAGAAGGAACCATACGC